CCGAAGAGAAGGAGCGAAAGGAGCCAGGTGAGCGCCGTGAGCTGCCGGACCCCCGGCCGCCTCCCGGCCGCCTGAGCAGGACAAAGGAGGCTCAAACTGGAAGAAAAAGTTTGGAGCAGGCAGCGAATCCCTCCCTTAAGGAGCCAGGGTGAAGTCATACGGCAGCAGCGGGGCGGGACGGCCGAGCCGGAGTAGGAAAACAAACAAGCCCACATGCGAATTCCCGCAGCCGCCCGGGTGCCCCGCGCGCCCCCAGCGCTTGTGCAAACACCGGCAAAGCCGCGGCAGAGCCGAAGCCACGGCGGAACGGGAGGCGAAGGCCGGCGGCCGGAGTGCCAGGATGGCATTCCCTGGTGACGCCCTGGTCTGGCACCCTGCCAGCAGCAGGCACATAGCTGGAGGCTGGGGGTGCCGGTCAGGTGCTCTGGGGAGGGTTTTCAAGTTGCCTCAACCAGTGTGTGCCACCAGCACCAGCCCCCTTGAGCCCCATCCAGCCCAGGGCTGGACCCCCAAAACAATTCCAAGCCAGGGAGAGGTGAACCCTGGGGCCGTCTAGGCTGTGGGAGGGGGATCCCACACCAGACAAAGCTCTCCAGCCTGGACATGAAGCTCTATGCTTCAGCTGGACATGTGCCCCATCGCAGAGGTGTCACCCTGTCCTCACAGCTGGCTTGTCCCTCCCGGAGACCCCAGGCTTTGGCTTGGGATACACAGTGGGGACTTAGGGTGTGCAATGGGGGCTAGGGGATACAGGCAGGGAAGGATGGTGGGCAGTCTGCTTGGGCACAGACCCCACTCCCCAAAACAGCCCCAGCACCCCAGCTCAGCACCGCTTAGGACCCAGGCAGAACCCCCAAGCAGGTGCCCGGCCCCGGGGGCCACTGACCCTGTCGAGCTCCTCCTGGTTGCCGAAGAGCGGGTGGTAGTGGCGGTACTTGCCCTCCCGGTACTTGGCGATTAGGAAGCGCCTCCTCTCCTGGCTGCCGCTGGTGGGGCCGATGGCTTCGCTCGGGGGCACATTTGCAGCCCAAAACTCGTTAGCCATCGCATTGCCAAACTGCTGGAAGAGCTACAGGGACAAGGACAAGGAGACACCGATGTTACCATGCTGGAGGGGGTTTGGGGGGTGGAGCTCGGGGGGTGGCTTTGCTGGAAGCAGGGGTTGCTGCCCAGGAGAACAGTGGGATGCAGGAAGAACGAGGGGGGGGGAGAGCTTATAGGTGGTGTAGGGTGAATGGGGAGCCTGGGTGGGCAGGGTGCAGGAGCCCCCACCCACTGCAGGCATGCAGCATCCGACAGCCCCCGCAGCCGCTGACCCCCCTTCTTGCCCCGGGAAATCACATCTGGAAAGCAGCGCCCAGCTGTGGGAGGCGGGGTGGTGCTCAGCATCCAGGGGGGCAGATTTAAAGGGCGTTTGGTGGCCTCTGGCCATTCCACTGTCCACACTGAGCAGTGCCATTAAGAGGTTTAGCTCTGTCTCAGGGAGCCCCACATCACTCAACACGGGGGGCTCTGCCAGCATCCCTAAGCTCTTTGGGGTG